AAAGTAAGGGGGAGTCGTTTTCAACGTACGGGGGAGTCGATTTTCACCGCTTCAGAGTCAGAAGAGATGTGGGTCACGTCTTTTTTCGGTATATGTAAGATGTATTTACAAAAACCAACTAGCCCACGGAAGGTACCAATGGTTAAGCTTTCTGTTGGTCATTTGTCCGGCTAGCATATACGTCTAGTTTTCTCAAACACTTCGAAATTATTTGACAGATTTCATATTTATGTTGATCGAGTGGTTAAAACATGCATAGTTTGCACAATCTACGACTTGTATAGGGATTATGACAGTTAAAAGAGCAAAGGCAAACGTTTATCTTTCAAATGAAACTATTCAAACATGGCTAGACTTGATAAAAATTAATAATTAAGACGTTTTCTCTTCAGACAATAATGGTTCCGTAGGGGGGAGTCGTTTCTGGAAAAACACAACGCATAGGGGAGTCGCAAAGTAAAGTGAAATGCATGCCTAACCTGGTGTTGTTAGTTCAAGAAAATATCAGCAATATGTACATGTACAATTGGATTTAATATCTAAGGAGCACATGTGTTTGGGGAAAAAGCCTTCCATAGCTCAGTATGAACTTTTCTTATACATCACAAAAAGTCAAAAAGATCACGAACCCTCACTTTCAACAATGTCAACCTCTCCATAAAAATCAGATTTATAATATGGAAAAGTTCTTCACAATAATATCAACCATGTTTTTTTTATTAGAAAAGTGGAAATCTCTGACGCTGCATTCCAGCCCCTTGACTTCTTTTTTCTGGGGGGAGGGGGGGGGGTTAGAAATTTTTAAACTGGTATATGCTTTCGATTTGGTCGACATATAAATAATTTATTTTTATTCATTTATTTATTATATAAAATAACCCATCTTTAGGCACAACCAACGTATTTTAAATGAGAATATTTGGGATGATCTGGATTTGTAAAACACAGTCAGTACTCCATGCATACATTCATAGACAGGGTTCGAGGGCAACATGCGGGTTTTTTCGGACCGAAGAACCAAAGTGTTTGCCCGAGGTTGTTAGACCGAAGGCAAAAAGTTTTTGTTTGAGGGGTCGACATAAATATATAAATTTGTTTTTTCTTTGTTTGTGTTGGAGAGGACATTCAAGTTGGAAAAACTTGTGTCTGATCCAATTGATTATCGATAAATGATTTGTTATATAGTTATTGTCAAGATGAAATTTTGTTCACGCGCACGGCAGTTTAAACTTGGTCAGTTCCGTCAATATCTCATCGACAGGTCCAACATCTCACTCCACTGTCCAGCAGATTAATTTGACCGCTCAGGAAAACAACAGAAAGGCCTAACTTTTTTAAGTTATAGTTTTTTTTACAATAACAATTTTCATAAACTAGCCTAGTATGAAAAAAAGAATTACAAACAACTTATCTGAAAAATTTGACAAGCAAAAAATGTTGGTAGAAAATGTTACAATAGAGTTTCTCCCCAAATTTTATTAACACATTTGCAAATATAACTATGATTTAACTATTCTGCAACAAAACGTTGGGAGACCTTTCATACTACGTGCCTGTTTCGTGAAATGTATTTCAGAATTGTTATTATGGGTAAGGGTAGGGTCTGAAGTTCTAATTATAATAAGAGCTATAAGAATTCATAGAGAAAAATATCAAAATATCATGCCCTCATCCCGAATACATGTATACTCTTTAGAAGAGTTTGATGTTATGTGTGAAGGAAATTGGCAAAGCTGAAGTCCACTTTCCTTCACCCCCTCCATATATTTGTAGTTATTTTTTTTTCAACATTGTCTGCCTAACGGTATTTAATTTAAAATGCTGAAAATTTTGGTATATGCCACTGCTCATCCGTGCAGAAACCATCAAATGTACGTGTAGTAATGTATATGAAATACTGGTACATGTATATACTCACTCACAGTAAGAAACGATACATACATGTTTTTATTTTTACATGTACATGTTGCTTATATTTATCTTTAGTCATGTTACATTTTACTAAAATTATCAAAATAATTATGTAAGGAAGCATTTAGCAAAAGAAAAGTCGAAATTTAAATAAACAGTACCATTCAATTGTGCGACTCCCCTATGCGTTGTGTTTTTCCAGAAACGACTCCCCCCTACGAAACCATTACTGTCTGAAGAAAAAATGCCTTAATTATTAATTTTTATCAAGTCTAGCCAAGTTTGAATAGTTTCATTTGAAAGATAAACGTTTGCTTTTGCTCTTTTAACTGTCATAATCCCTACACAAGTCGTAGATTGTGCAAACTATGCATGTTTTAACCACTCGATCAACATAAATATGAAATCTGTCGAATAGTTTCGAAGTGTTTGAGAAAACTAGACGTATATGTTAGCCGGACAAATGACCAACAAAAAGCTAAACTATTGGTACCTTCCGTGGGCAAGTTGGTTTTTGTAAAAACATCTTACATATACCGAAAAAGACGTGACCCACATCTCTTCTGACTCTGAAGCGGTAAAAATCGACTCCCCCGTACGTTGAAAACGACTCCCCCTTACTTTTTAGCGACTCCCCCGCGTTACCCGTTGTATACGGTGAGTCATGTATTTCAGAAGCGAAGATCTAAATTTCTACTAAAAGCCTACCCTTTCCTCTCTCATATTTCTTATCATTATAAAATCACACAAATTTGGCTAAACACTCAAAAAAAATATATATTATATAAATTTTTCACCCCTTGATATTTTCGTCTCTGTTCTCCTCAAAATTAAAGGGACAAATTAGATAAGTAGGTGAATTATATATAATTATATATTATTTTATGACTCAAGGAAACAAATACCTCTTAATAAAACATTTCATTTCTAGGAAACATGAGAAAATGAATTTCAAATACATTTCATATACTATAGGAATGTTTTCGTAAAGTAGAAGAAATATACCCTTGTTGGGTTCATTTATCTGTAAACGGCTGGAATTCGGTTACAGAAATGTGGAATTCTACCCACGCTGAAAAAGCTTTGATAGATTTAACAATCAAATTATAATGCAACTGTTTTCTGTGAAAAGTTACTTTCCATGAAAAATCGATTATTTCGTAGAAAAACGTGATTTCATGAGTCAGTCGACTCGGTTTGGTGTCAAAACTGCGCAAAATACAAAACATCGCATTTTCTCCAGACAGTTTACAATATGGACAAATAGAAACATAAAGAATAATGTCTGATCTATCATAATAAATTTTATGAATAAGGATTTTTTCTTAATTAAAAGAAGTTTCTTTTCACAATTATCATGCGTATATTTCCAAAGCGGAGGAAACCAACTTTCTAGCAGATGATGAAATATGTTTGAAGTGAGTAGGTTTCTTGATCTGTTTTTAGAGTTTGGTCGTACGTTATGAATCTCGTCGTCACTTCTTTTAGATATTTTTACAGTTTATATCAGTGATTATTGGACACTTGTCAATCAAATAAAAATATGATACAAGGCTTCTTTAATGAAACGATTGCCCATTTTTGGATCATCTACTGATTTTTCTTTAGTGAATCTTCGGGAAGAAGTTAGAGGTACAGACGTATAATTGCAGCGCACAATTTTCATAAAAATGAATAACGATAATAATCGCAAGTGTCATGTTGAATTGGCAGTTTACCAAATCAAAACGTTTTCTTTTGTTTTGCTTCAAAATTGATTAATTTCATGGCACCTGATCCCTCCTCTGATGTTTTAGAGGTCTGTGTTTTCTCTGCTCCTATTTTGATTTGTTTCATGGACCTTTGAGCTTGAATGTTGTTCGTTTTCTCAAAATATTTCATTCATTTTTTAAGAATTTTGATTTTATTGCTTTTAATGTTTTCCCCTGAAAATTTAAAAAGAATATTTTAATGATCTTTTGATATCCTTTAAGATTTCGAAAAGATTTTTGTTTAACTTCATTTTTATACATCTCATTTTTATTCATATCAAGGACTAAGTTTTTCTCGAAAAGACCCTAAACAATGATTATTCAGCATTGAAATTATCTTCCAGATGACACTGCTCTTACAATTGACAGTGTATACATCTATTTTAAAATTCAATAGATTCTTAACTAAGCTCAGTTTTCTATATTAAGATTGTCAGTTTGTTTAAAGAAAGTATTTTAAGAGACATCACTCTAAATTGTTGAGATATCTCTCTAAGTTAAAGAGATATGAGTATGAGTGTGGCAAAAAGAGGAAGCTCTTTTAATTTGGTTAAAGATATAACTTTTATGATTATTGATATAACTTTTTTTGATTATAGAGATATATCTTTGGATTATAGAGAGATTTCTCTCTTTATTATAGAGATATTAAGAGATGTATGTCCACAATATTTTTCTCTCTAACCTAAAGAGATATCTCTTTAACCTAAAAAAAAGATATCTCTTTTATTGAAAGTGATATTCTATTTTTCGAATAAATAGTAAAAAGTGATTGTCGTATCTATTTAGGCCTTGTGACTTGGAAGAACCACTTGTCTGTCTTCATTTTTATGCTATTATTTTTTTTGATACGTCACAGATAGCGACAAGTCAACAAAACACAGACTTTAAAACAACATGCTTCCATTTCATTATGTGTTTTGTACATTAAAAATTGATCTACATGTTTAAGAACACTGGTTTTCGCAAAGGAGACTTTACATCATCTCCAAATATGTTCATAAAATTAATTTGCAATTGATATGTAATATTACATTAATATTCACCCAGCACCTAACTTTAATCCCAGGGTTTATAAAAAATTATTTCACCTATTAAATGTTAACATAGGGTACCATTCATTTACCTTAAAAAAAATTAAAAGGAAGTGGTGGCTCGCGGGGAGCAGTGGTTAGAGCGTCTGCTCTAGAGTCGCGAAGTAAGGAGTAGATCCTTACTTCGCGTTACTGTCACTGCCGAGTATAGGACAAAATTTGCAGTTCTCCACCAGCAAGTGGCGGGGTCTTCATATGAGTGAAAAATTCTCTTGATGGACGCTAAACAAAATACAAACAAACATTAAAGAAAATGAAGTATTGATGAACAAAGATGACTCGCTCATTTAACAAAAGGGAAAATAAATACATAAAATGTATAATAATTAATCTTAACATAAAAAATGTTCAGAACTTCATCATCCTCGAGTTGGTTATAGTCCAATGCAGAAGTAAGGTCACTAAAAAGCTTTTATAGCATTGTTCTCGATGGCTACGATATTGTTCAAGTCTTAAAGCCTTTTTGTATTTTTGGTATTATTTTTTTTTAATTCTGTATCTTTTTACGGTTGCATTTTTCCAATTGGATACCCATAAATCATTATTGTGATCGAGACAAATTCCAACTGGTCCGCCTTCTTTGAAATTAACATGGGTGAGAATGTAGCAAAGTAGTCTTCCATCTGGATCAAGCATATGGATTCTCTTATTGTTTGGATCGCAGACGAAAATATGACCATGTGCATCAGTGCAAATCCCCCATGGGTGCCCTAGGGTTCCCATTGGATCCCCCGTGTAGTTAAAACGAAGCTTTCCAGTCTTGCTGACGACAACCACTGCCTTCTTTCTATTGTCAGAAACGCAAATGTCACCTTGAAAGTTTTCAGTAATATAAAAGATACTTGAGAATAAAACATCTCCATTATCCCCATTCTCTATTTGCTGGACCTTTTCATGTCTTTTGTTGAACCTTGCTATTTTGTTCTCTTTTGCGTTTGTCAGTCCAATCAGGGTATCTCCATTGAAATGACTGGCATAGACGCAGATAGGAACCCAATTTCGAATTGAAATAATACGTTCCATTGAGCCATCCTGCTTAATTTTGCTGACGCATCCATTTTCCTGGTCTGTGAATAGCAACTCGCCTTCTATGGAGACAGTATGAAAACCGACACCGCCTCCCTTTACATCTAGTTTATTCAAAATGTTCCCATCAATATCAGTTTGAAGTAGTGACCGATAGAAGTCACTCATCCAGATCCGTCCACTTTTTTGGTATGAAAGATGGAAGCCTTTGGTGATCCCATTCAGTAAAATGCATCCTGGTGCATTCAATTCCTTCTTGAGGCTAACTGAACTGAACATATTTTCGATATCCTTTTTCTTAATGTTATTTTCTTTGAGAGTTGGAAACGAAATTTCCTTGATTTTTGGAGCATCTTTCAGTTCTGCTAAGCGTGTTTCCAAGTCCAGTGACAAGAAACTGGCATATTCTGTTGTCTTCTTCCATTTTTCAAAATCACTCCAAAAACGCCGTGTTTGTGCGATGTATGTGTTTATTTTCGTCTCCTGTTGAGTGATATCTTCCATTAGAGTCTTTTGTGTTCTGTCCAAATCCTTCTTTTTTTCATCCAAAACTTCATCTACTAGTGTCTTCATCTCTTTTGCTTCAGATTCCAAAACATTCTTTATTTTCGGGATTTCTAATGTGCATTTCTCCTTTTTATCACTGAGATCTTTAACCATATCTTTGTATTTGAGAAGATTTTCTTCGCATCGAGGGATTTTTTTCATGACCCCCTCCACTTTTTCTAGGAATGCCGCCCTTAAATCTTTCAATTCGTGTCCAACATGTTTCTCCATCACGCATGTCATGCAAACTGGTGTACTGCATTAATACAGCATGCGTCATACATCTTGTCCATGTGTATTTTGCAGGGTTCTGGATAAAATGGAGGTCTCCTATCACTATACAGAACAACGTCATGTTTTTTTGTCGGCTTTTTCGTCTGATGACGTATTTTACATGTTTGGCAGAGATCAAACTGGCATGTGTTACAGTGATATAATGCGTTCCCCTCGCACAATGTGCACTCTATGAAGTGCTGTGCTAAACACGTCTCCATTTTCGTACGATTCTCTCCTGTTGAAGAAAAAATACTGCATTTATTTTTTTGCTATTTTTAAGAATATGAATAATCTGATTGACAAATTTTTTTAAGTTAAGTTTAAATATATACATCAGTATTTTGTGTCATCTGCAAAGCAGATGATATTTCGATTTTTCTTCCCGTTAATTTCCCGATCATGACAAGGATCACAAGGCGTATGTGACGGTTGGCAGGGGATTCTCAATCCTCTATGGCACCTGTTCCCACCTTTGATGTTTTGGAGGTCTGTGTTTGCTCTGCTCCAATTTTATATTGTTTAATGGACCTTTGAGTTTAAAATCTGTTCGTCATCTCCATTTCATTGGGAAGAATTTTGGTACACGTATGTTGTTTTATGAGTTAAAAATTAACTTTGCTTCTTGTTCCACTTCAATGTCTTTTTGAGAGAATTATGGCATTTTCAAGTCAATTGAGTTAAATACTAGTTTTCAGTTGAAGTTCAATTTTTAATTGGAACAAGATAACGCTTGATGGTAGCGGATTAATATTTAAATAATGCAACTTGCTTTCAGTATGCTTGTTCAAAGACATCTTGCTTTTTAAACAAAAAACACATTATCTTCTCAAATGCACTGATTGTAATCTTATATTTCTTTTAATGCCAAATAATAATAAAAAAAAAATTAAATACAACACCGAAGAACCCATAAATCACAGAACTCGTCTTCCTGTTAACCATTAGAATTGTCAACAAGCATTATCAACCCAATTCACAAATCTCAATGTGAACCAACTGCACTCATCTCTAACCTTACTATTTTAATCAATAGTTTAGGGAAATTTGCTGATTTTGCGGTCTTAAAAGACACCAAAGCAGGGTTTAGAATAATTTTGATAGTGTGTTCATACTTTATTCTCCAAATAATCAGAATTGTGCTTACGTCTTGTACCACAAATGCTTTTAAAAAATAGCGTAAAAAAGAAATTATTATATAAATATTGCATGTAGTTGAGTGTAAAATTCAAAATTTTCACCCCAAGAAAACCATTGTCAACCGAGGCGCACTCAACTACATGCAATATTAATTATATTATACTGAATGTTTTATACAAATACATAAAACAGTGAACCGTGCGCGCATAAATTCTGCGCAGTCGCTATTTTTTGGAATATCACCCATCGTCAATCACTGTTGACTGTTGCTACGCTGGAGGGCGTGGCTTCATTATTCAGGGGGCACTAGTGTTTTAACAAATGTTTCTCGACCAATCAGATTCAACTAATTTACATGAAAGTATAATGTTATAATAGATCCCACATGTTTTGGAGACAATTTAAATGATATACAGATAAAACTCGATTTCACAATTTCTAAAATTTGCTATCACGATTTAAATTTAAACGAATTTTAAAAATTCTTTAACGAATTTAATTTGTTGAATCAAACTTGATTTAAAGATTTAGGCCCTATAGTTCAATATTTTACGAAACCCATTTAGGACCTATAAAAATAATTTCGAAAATTGATATAACGAATTGTCGAATTTGTTATAAAGAATTTGATTCATTATAACTGTTATAACAAATTTGTTGAATTCATTATAACGAATTCTTTAATTTGTTATAACGAATTAAATTCGTTAAAACGAATTCAAAAATTTGTTATAACAAATTGTATTCGTTTAAATAAACTCTAAAGTTTTGTTATTAAATTAAATTCGTTTAAACAAATTCAATAATCAGGTCCAATAGAAAAATATATACGTATTTGATATAACGATTTGTCGAATTCGTTCAAACGAATTTAATTCGTTATTACAAATGATGGAATTCGATTAAATTCAATTCATTATAACAAGTTTTAGAATCTGTTAAAACGAGTTTAATTCGTATTAACAAATTTTTGAATTCGTTATAACGAAATCAACAAATAACAGATTAAATTCATTACAACGAATTCAAAGAAATTGTTATAACGAATTAAATTCGTTATAACAAATTCGAAAATTTAATTATATCGGATTCAAAAATATTTTTCGATAGGTCTTAAATGGGCTTCCGATAATTCAATATTTACAATCGGCAATCCTCGGCTGACTCCGCTACGCTCCATTCAAATCTCGGATGTGATAGGTGGAGGAATACGCAACAGATCGCTACATTTCTCCGCCGGAAATTGCCTTGTCACTCATTTCACATTTCGCTCTGCCTAAAGTTCTTAGAAAAGGTTTCTTTATTAGTGTAATTCCTCGTGTTAATTACAACCAAATGTTAGTATTCTTTGAAAGCAAGAACACAGTGTTGGGCGTGCATCAAAGTAACTCGGATTTCAAAAGTATAATATTTGAATGAAATTCAAATAAGATCACATGACTGAATCAGCAAGATGGAAGCTCGCCGTTGACGTCCGAGGTTATGTGCGAGGTACGAGTCATCCGAGGAACTCCGATTGCAATATTTATGAATCTGATAAAAAGAATTACGGAAGCCCATTTAGGACCTATCGAAAAATATTTTTAAATCCGATATAACGAATTGTTGAATTTGTTATAACAAATTTAATTCGTTATAACAATTTCTTTGAATTCGTTATAATGAATTTAATTTGTTATAACAAGTTTGTTATAACGAATTCAAATAAATTGTTATAACGAATTAAATTCGTTATAACAAATTCGACAATTCGTTATATCGGATTCAAAAATATTTTTCGATAGGTCCTAAATGGGCTTTCGTACAGAACTGATGAACTCGTTCAATGAATTTAATTCCTTATTTTAAAAAAAGTTAAACAGATTTGAGAGATTTTATTTTAACGAATTTCATTTTTTGATACAAATTTTTTAATAAGTTTTAAGGGAATCAACAAATTTGGTTTAGTAATTTGCAATGAAGAAACCATAACATTGATATAACGAAAGAAATTCGTTTCATCAAATATCGAACTCAAACATATTTTGACTAAGTTCTGAATGGGCCTCCGTATACATTCCTTAAAAATAGCTCGTGTACTACTATTTATTTTTTGTACCGCATTCATGAAATAGTTATACAAATAAATGAACTTGAAGCAATTAATTTAGGCAAACAAGATAACAATTATAAACATGTATGAAATATAAACACTCTAGGGATAACTAGGTCAATCTGAATGAGCGAAATAAATGGTTTCTTCTTTTTTTACGAAACGAAACAAACTTTTACAGCGGTTATCTTACACTGTACGTAAAAATTTACAAAGCTCGTATACGGATAAATCTCCTCCTAGTATTATGTAACGAATATTTATCATACATAAAACGTTAACCATATTAAATCTAGGGATCGAAGACTCAAATAGTTTCTTTACTTACAGTATATATGGACGCCAGTTGTCTAAGTCTATACTGCATTTTTTTGTGTACACACTTACTGTTTGTGTAGTTTGTTCATGCGCAACCAGCGAAACATTAAATCGAAAGTATATACCTTTATAGTTTAGATATAATTTTTTTTTTACACATACGCGATTTATGATTTAAAATCAAATAATTTTGCATTTTTATGTAATGTAAAGAGAAAATGATAACCTATTTTTAAAAAAAAAAGGATAAATTAATGTATCCATATTGCGACAGATTATAATTAAGGGTTCATCAATATGTAAGTGTGTTAAATTTACGCCTCCTATATTAACATCCACTGAATATTTTTCCTCTCTTTCTTATGAAGACCATTTCCGTTAATCAGTGCATAAACAGCACAGAGCAAGCCACGTGTGTAGTTTGAACAATAGCTGTTCCATCAGTTTTACATACAATGACATATTCATCTTAATATGTTGCATTACCAAAGTAAAGGCTGAACAGGGCTGATTTCAATCAGTCTATGACTATTTTTCTGCAATAAACAGATAAATTCATTAAATCAAGGCAAGTTTATTTTTCTTTAAATTTTGACGTTATTCTCGCGTGAACATGGCGTTAGCGTTTGTGTACGAAGCGATGCATTCTGGGTCAAAATTACTGCGGAAAAAAATAGCGTCATAGCTTAATTCCTATACTAACAACCAAAGAAAGCATTTTATTATTTAAGATACTATCTATTTTTACTATACACTATATTCATTATTCCTAAATACGCTCTAAATGAATTTTATGCTGTACTCTATGGGAAGTGTTTTGATTGTGGATTGATTTTCACTATATCTTTCTGCTATCTTTAAAGGCCAAGGTTCTTTTTTCATAATAATTTCTTCACATCTCGTTTGAAGCATATTATAAAACCTTTATAAATACCAGAAGTACCATAATGTTAAAAGAAAAAAAAACTTTTATTGATCTTAGTTCTGGAGTCGCAGAGAAGGAGTTGATCGTTACGTCGCGGGTTCGAATAAACCGAGGTCCCTTGTCACATTAGAAAATAGTAAAGTAAAGATTCTACCTGATGCTCAATGGCCAAAGAAGCGAGATTTATTTAACATTTTCCTCGTGGTATCCCATATAAAACATTGATCCCCCATGTGACTCCACCCTACTCCGGGGAGTCATAAATTGAACAAATGATTTACACTACATGAGGATGCCTCCGAATAAATATGACTAATTGCTGCTATTGAGTTCATTTTTAGCAGTCGGTAGAGAAATAGCATATATGTTATTTTTCAATGACTCAGTTGAAATCAGACTTTCTTTTGTTATCAGTTTTTATGATCTTGAGGCCTTATCCCTTAGCTTACAAAAGATCTAGGGGTTATTGAAAGAAGACCAAGTTTAAAAAGTTCACAGCTTTGTCTAATAGTCTGTTTTAAGGTGTGTGTGGTTTATCATCCTTCTTAAGAATTTTTCACTCATATGGACAGGTCAATACTTGCCACTGGTTGACAAATTTAGACTTATACTTGGCACTAAGACCATTGAGGACTGAGTAATGAGGGATCTTTTCCGTGCCAGCACCTACTGCCACGCAGAATATCGGTCTATTCGGTCTCTTCCGAAGGACCGGTCTCCACGTCCCACAGTGGGATTCGAACCCGCAATGTAAGGATCGAATCCTTACTCCGCGGCTCTAGAGCACATACATATACCGGTACTTTATCCACTGCCTGGTACTTTTATATCATCTTTCATTAATGAAGAACTACTCGGCATGTAAGCAGATATACTCTTTAGAGTAGACGTATTCTGTATTTTAACTAGTGCTATGAGCTAGAGAACTTTAGGAATTATTTTGATATTGGATTCTTTATGATGCTAAGGGATTTTTCTCAATCTTTCAAATTCTGGAATCCCATATGTCATGCATGTACCATATCAAAAACCCTTAATTTAATACAAAAATTGTTGACTTTTTTTCTTTTTACTTTTATATACTTGATCATCGTCCCAAGTGTATAAAACAATGGTTCTTCAGTTGTCGTGTTTGTAAAGTGCAGAGTTTTACATTAAGCAATTCCTTATGGATCTTTATTCGAAAACTTTGTCTCTGTTTCATTAAGGCACAGAATCGCTCGCAAAACTTAATCGTTTGAGGATGTTTCATGTGGATCTACAGTCGCAGAAAACTTAGAAATTCAACCTTACATTGCATTTTCGAATCCCACCGTAGAACATGGAGAGAAATGGTTCTTCGGATGAAATCGTATAAACTGAGATCCCTTGTCGTATTAGATGCATTACCAGGAAAAATATTCCTCGTTGCTCAACACTTAAAATGCCGAGTAAAAGTCTAGCTGTCTTCCCAATGGCATTTGGTGATGTCCAAACATGAGTGAAATATTTAAAAGATTATTATTTTTTGTTTCACTCTTATACGAGGGTTGATCCAAAGGTAATGTCACAGCGTCCATATCTTTTATATTTGGCGTCATATCATCAAATACAATATACCAAAAGATGCACAAATATAAATCTAATTAATATTGAAATTTTAATTTAATAATGTTAATTTGAATTTATTTTATAGATATTTAAAACATAGAGCATAGGGGGTGTCGCCGCTTCACAGCGGAACGTCACGTTTTAAAGTGTATTTTTTCTTAGAATACAAACGACAAACATATTAAAAAGATTTTGAAAAAGCACCTAATCTCCCACTTTTGTTAAAGACACAATTCTTGTCATTTTCTAGTCTTTAATTGAAAATTAAATGACGGCATTGGTATTTTTTATCATAAACATTGTCGTTTTACTCTATTGAATTGAGCAAAGGGATTGTCGAAGTGGGGGAAAAAAAGGCTCGACGAGTTGTAATGCATTTTTGCTTCAAAATATGGTAATCATCACTAGCGACATTTTCGTTAATCAATCAGACTTACAGAATAAAGAATGTAAATAAGAGACATCTTGAAAGATGGTTTCAATTTTGGGCGGGTGATTGGTCACTGAATGAATAGCAGAGGACAAAAAGACCAAAAGAAAGGAGATCGGACGGAAACGTTAAGTGGTGTCTGACGTTGTGAAAAAAGACAGACGTATAGAGTGACATGTGAATTTTTAAGTTTATCTTTATGCTACTGTTCAAAAAATTTTGACAGAGGGCTGAATTATGAAAAGAGTGGGTGTATAATGGTACCAAGAATTCCTTTAAAAAGTGGAATTGGTGAAAGTGTCTGCAAATCACAAATAATTTTTAATTAAACGAAGGGGAAACGCTTAAAAGTATGACGGTGTGTATCCGTCATATGATAGGTGCAGCGACTACCATAAACGCGCATTGTTTAAAATCCGATATTTTGAAAAGTATACATCATATTCCTTTGAATTTTTCAGGTCTGATTTGAAATAAATAAAGCTTCCTTCATGTATAATTTTGTTGCTTTACGTCGATTTATAGCAATTTTAGCAAAGTTGTGACATTACTTTTGGATCAACCCTCGTACACTATAGTTGCTGTTCTAGAAAACAATTGATTTCTTTGAAGCACTTTTATTTAATGCAAACCTTTTGATACTGACAATCAAAAGAAAAGCACACGGGGTTAATTAAGTCCAAATAATCCGCTTGATATTTAATTCAGGTTAAAAATTGATTTCATTTGCATTTCTATTTTTATAGTAGGAAAAATATTGCCATTGAGGGTTCACATGTTTCCGTTAAAAGTGTGTTCTATCCCTTTATCTACCCTCCCACGCACGTTCCTGCCCGCTCCGGACAGAGTTTAATCGTCTGTAGTCTGTCTAATTTCCTCGCCTCCTTCATAATCGATTGTATGAAAATGCTTTTGTCTTTGCCTTTTTTAACAATTTATAGACCCGCCTTCATTGTGAATCGATAATAATTTCCCACTCATTCATGATTCTTCTGTCAAGTCTGAAGAAGAGTTCTCAATGCGACGGAGACCATTCTCAGGAGACGTTAGAAGTATAGTGGATTGAACTCTATACGTAAAGCCTTTTAAAAAAAAAGAGTTGCTTGTATAACTCCTCTGTGTCAAAGTGTAATCACATTAAGGAACGGAACGTCTGACGTAAGCCGTGAGATCGAATAAAAGAAACTGTAATCAGTTTACGTGGCTGAATTGAACTTATTAGAAAGTAGCGATATGGAGAACGGAAAATACAACATTTCAGCGTTATCGCTTTCGAGGCCATCAGAAGTTTTAGAAAAGTTGACGTTAACTGGAAGTTCCTTACTACTTATCGTGGCCACAATTGTGAATATACTGGCTCATTTTGTGATCGCCTTAATTTTTTTAAAATCTCGTCCTTTTCGTCAAAGCCGACATTATTATATCCTCAGTGTGGCTTTTTCAGACTTTTTCACTGGAATGACTACCCCCTTTTTGATCGTGGAGTCCATGAATTCCCGCTGGACTTTGGACCCTTATTTGTGCCCGATGTTTCTGGTGGTAAGGCATTCCATGATGTTCATTTCTCTTCTGAGTGTTTTGCTGTTTACTTTGGATAGATGGTGGAGTATAACTTACCCATTGTCCTATCGAGCGCGCCAAAGCCAACAAAAATCGGTCCTCGTTCTTATCATTGTCTGGATTTTTGCAGCAATTGTTCACATACCTGCCATTTTTGTATGGAATTCTCAGTACATGAACAACGGATTCAAACTGACGTTCTGCTTGTATCCCTATAATTTTGATCGAATATACACCATTTCATCGACATTGCTCGAGTTCTTCTTGCCCATTGCTTCCCTTTTGACTCTCAATGTTTCAATATATGTGGTATTAGTAAGACGTCGCAATGCCACGGAAATTAGAAGATCCCTCAGCACCAGTGAGAGAGCAGTCCGCAGTCGGAAAGACAACCTATACCCTTGTTGTATTCCAAACTGCCATTGTAAATCGACCAAAGCTAACAGGTTACAGCCCCGTTCGACACAAATGGTCAAAAATCACAGTGCCTCAGAACTACCGACGCCAGCAAACAATATAAGTATTGACAGCAGAAGCAGGTCTTTAGAGGCTGTCTCGGCAGTTTCTTGTCAGTATAATTTTTTGCGAAAGGAAAGTGATAACCTGGTACGAGATTTTCTCTTACGTCAGAGCATGAGAGCGTTGTGTTCGGTTGGTATTCTCACCATTTGCGCCATTTTGTTTCGCTCACCATACGTCATTGCTATACTTGTCAATGTGTTTTCATGTCCTGTGCCTTCGGGAATACTGATATTTCTTCAGAACCTTACTGTAATCAATGCTTCTATTAATCCATTTTTATACAATCTAGGAAATAAAACTATCAAGAAAACTATCCGGTCCTGCATAAAGTCTAAACTGAAGAAGACGGATAAATTTGGAGAAAATTTAGCAAGCATGTATTGTATTCTTGAACGAAATGGCAAAGTTTCTACCATCCTCAATCAAAGAACATAACCATGAAATATTTGTTTCTGATATTTTATGTTTAAAAATGAATTTCTTCCATTGTGAACAATTCAATTTGTTACATTCATATGTTATCATTAACATATTGGTGCCATATTCTTTCAGTCTATATATTAGACTTTTTTAATTTTTATCGTTATTTTATTTTTGTTGATAAATTAATTATATGGAATAAAAGAATATTTTTAATTTTGTTTTTTTATTCTTGAGCAATTGCTCTTGTTTACAGTTTTTATTTCATTAAAGCTCGTCTGGAAATGTATGTAAAATGCCTCTTGATTCATACATAATGGTGGTATGGAAACGAGGCTACATGACCTAATTAACCTGATATAAATCACGGAGTTAACCTCATTGCATAAGAATATCCGGCCAGTGGCTACAGATCCTTACAAAAGTAATCAATGAATAATGAATCCATTTATATTCCACCGCACTCAACAGTGCTCAAAGACTTCGTTTACAGGGAACAAACCTAACCTCATACAGAAAAGAAAATCGATTGCGTCGTGTCATTTGAGTTTTAACATTAGATTAAGGAGCGACTACATCCTCTATTAGATTTGAATACTCCAGAATTCGTTGTAGAGTGTTTTTTTTTCTTTTTCAATCAAAACTGAACCAAATCATGCTAATTTTGGTAATACATGTAAGGGTGTAGGGCTTGTTAGAATGCATTTTACTATTGAATGTTGAAAGCCGAAAAATATGAATATTTTGTTCTGTATATTTGTGTATTTGTTATGAAAATTTAAAAAAAAATATTTTCAATGTTAAGGTCATCTATTTTTAAAATAAATGCCCTCTCTCGACGGACATACTATAAACGGCCCGACTCAAAACTCTCCATTAAGAAATATTTTTGTTTATTCTTTAATAACGATTTTAATTTCACATTTGCAGGATTTTATTAAATTAAAAAAATGTCCCTTCCTATCTACCAATTTTTTAAAACCTTAGCTTGGAGAGGGCAAACAAAAATATTTCAAAATCGACTTATCTCAATTTTTCCGATAGAAAACGTGTGCCATTTTAATATAGAATTGAGAAAATTCAGGAGTTGCGGGTGAGGTTGAGTTCTTCTTCATGGAAGAATATGGAGATAACGAACAGTATACAATCTCAAAGTCCATAAAACAATACAAAATAAGAGCAGAGCAAACACGGACCCCCGAAACATCAGAGGTAGGATCAGGTGCCATGGAGGAGTGAGCATCCCCTGCCGACCGGTCACACCCGCCGTGTGCTCCTTGTCATGATCAGGAAATAACGGAAAAAATCCGTCGTCAATTTAGTGTATAAATAATGGACTAACAGTTGGTATTTCCACGGGTAACCATGATAAACTGTATTTGCTGACAAGGTCAGCTGTTGATGACTTTGTAGTGTCGTCAACTTACTTGTCAATAATTTGCCTCGTTTTTAGAAATTGTTCATACGTAGAGCCCCCGTAATAGATAATTATATATTAAGGGGTATGAAGATTTGCTCATTTTCCAAACCAACACCTCTGCTGAGCTGTTGTATTGTAGTGTCGTTGTAGTATTTCTATGCCCACGTAATCAAAAATTAAGGGCTGTAAAGTTTTTTGTCCTGTCTGTCCGTCTGTTTGTCAGAAAAAAACTTTATTTTAACCTTACCCATAAATTTTGTGTGGATAGGGCTGTGGCTTTCATATTTCACATGTGTATTCCTTGTAACAAGAGCTTTTTTTCGGATAACACCAAATTTGACCTGGACCTTGGAATTTGACCAACTTTTACAAAAAAACAAGATGTGTTTGTGAAACACTATTCCCCCCGATGGTAACACAATTCTCGAGTGGGACGTAGACTGAAGTGATATACACTTGTAATATGTTTTAAGGGTTTCAAATGTAGGTCAAAGGTCACAATTGAGGTCAAATTATCAAAACTTAAAATTTCTGTACGTAGATTTTGTCATAATCAACTTGTGTCAAATATTAGTCTTCCCCTTGACAGCGCAATAGTTATGGCTAGTTTAAAGTTGAAAACAGACAGACAAACAGACGGACAAACAAAACAAAAACAATATACCCCGTGATCTTTTAATTCGGGGGTATAAAAATATCAGACTTTAACCTTGGCCATAATTTTTGAACAGTCTTTACATGGATATTCATTGAGACAAGATCTTGACCTTAGATTTTGAACCACTTTTTAAAAAAATTTTCAAAAGAGGTGGACTTCCATAGTTCACAGGTACAGGGTCGAGGTCAAACTTATTTGTATTCAACAGTCAAAGGGTGGTCTTTTTTACGAAAATATCTTCGATTACTGGGCATTTAAATTAAAAATGTCATAATTCCGTAAAATAATATACATTAAAGTGCAAACTTACATGTACCTAGATAATTCAAACTAATCTATAATTCATCATGTTCAACTGGAAGAAAAACAGCCCATTATTCGCAGGTAATTAGAGAAAAAGGGAGGAATCAAGTGGTGCGGACTGAAGGACAGGGGGACAGACAGACAAGGAGATACCTAGTTATAGTCCTTTCCAAATCATCCGTAGGGGACAAAAAAAGTAGTCCGTCACTTAAAATGCGCAAATTTGACGTCTTACGTTGAACCAACTGTGACTAATCTCTGTTGAGATTCTGCTGGGCTTCACTGATGCAGAATCTCTGGACAGCCATTAATATTTCACTGAAATGACCGGCTGACTATCAAGAATAAATGAACAACATTGCATGGCATTTGTGTAAATTACTCTTCAATGTATCTACAGCTTATATAAAATGTAAAAATATGCAGTGAAATGTCAGTTTTCACAATTACTTCACATTTTATGTTTTTTCAAATAAAAAATGTATAGTCTGTTTTTACCCTTGGTGAATCTGAACCAATATTCTGTGGCTTTTGAACATCAATTAGGTTAAAAACAGACTATAAGAACTCTTTTATTTGAGGAGGTAAACAATTACTACATTACCATTTTTAAAAGAAATTTCAGTGAATATTTTTATGTTGGGATTTACAACCTAAAAGGTAAGCAATGTAGAAATAAAAGTGATAAAGAGTCAAATAAACAACCAAATGACTTAGATGAAGCGAGCAGCTGTGTGGCTTAGGTGAATTATTTTGCTATATACGGAATTTTGCATGGTGTGTGTTCATCAGAATATCCTCCGTTAGATTTGCTTTAAGGACAGATTACAACTGTGACCGGCTAAACGATCACAAATGAACATATTGCATGGCTTGTGTAAATTATTCTTAATGATCAAAGCATATAAAATGTAAGCATTGCAAGTGTGTCAGTTCACAATTACTTCACATTTTATGTTTTTTCACAAAAAATGAACCTTTACATATATACTGTGATGTATTATGTATAGGGAGTTAAATTTTTTTGCGATAAGAAACATATTACATTATTTATTTAGAGATATTCAATTTTAGCTATCTCAGCAATCTTGAAATATTAATACCAAAATGAAAATGTTTGCTTATACGGAATTGTGCATGGTGTGTGTTTATCAGAATAAGACTCCCTTGAAACTCTGGGTTTTTTAAAAACAATTTCTTTTAAGATTCCCCGTTTAATTTGCTTTAACTTGTACAAAACGCCTTTTTGCATTGGTTCAATCTTAGCTTATTGGATTGCACCTAGAGTTCACTTGCAATTGATTCGATCGTTTATAAAGAAAAAAAACTTTCAAGAGGGTGTATCTTATTTCTGCTTTAATAACGAGATACAAATTAAGTCACATGTTAATTGATTTCAATCATTTTTAATATTATGTATATTTATTTATTTTATCTTATTAAATTAGTTTTTATTTATCTATTTATTTACTTGACTTACATATGTATTCCAGTTCGCCCCTTTGGTAGCATAGGGTCGCAATGCAATATACATGTATTTATTGAATAGGAAATTTTATATTCTCTTTTGTTTTACACAAAACTAATATTGTTTTGATGTGCGACGTTTTCATTCTCTTTCTAAAACTTTGCCTGTATCACAAAAATTCATACATATATATCATTAAGGCAGTCCCAAGCCTTCTTAAAAGGATTAAGTTTTGCTCTTACATTTGTGTTTTCAAGAGAAAATCACTTTAAGCCAAATTTTCCCGAATTCAATGTTATTTAACTTCTCGTCTGGGCGTTGAATATACGCAAATGTAGAGCTATTGGTGCATTTTAGTTTTATATTCATGCAGAAATAAATCATCGTGGCTTTCGAACTAATTAACTCGTCGAAGATTTCTGATGAAATCCGTAGAACATTCGTGTTCTGATGAATTAAATGAAGGTGAGACGGTAAAATATTTCTACTTTTATACCACCAAACTAAATGTAACAGCTCCGGGTTTCTTGTGTAAGATTAAGTCTAATTTTAAAATAAAATGGATTATATTTTCATAATTCTGTCATTTCATGCACGATCTTCTTAATGTAAATTGCTAAATTATCGAATTGTTAAAAAAATCAATTAGTAGTTGCTACTCCGATGACCTACTCTCTCAAAGGAATCAATATTCTTGTTTGCTATAATAGAGGGAATGTGGCCCTTAAAATTTAATGCAATGATTACTTGTAATTAAGAAAGGACAAATTTAAACAAGGCTGAAGCTGAATCATTAATGCTAACAAAGAGTTGAAGAAGTTTCACTGTGCAATCAGCAAAGGTAGTTTCAAAACAAGAAATTGTCATTGTAAGCTAAAAACTTGCGTCTCTATTTATATTGAAGATTTGGGGGCATAATCCTGTGTAAGTAACATCGAAGGGTATATTGTTTTTGTCCTGTCTGTCTGTTTTCATAACTAGACCATAACTATTGCACTGTCAAGGGTAAGTGTATATCACTATAGTCTACGCCCCACTTTACAATCGTGTTACCATATGCATCGGAGGCAAAATGTTTCACAAACACAACTTGTTCTGTAAGTGTTTTCCCCGCAAAATATTGTGTTCTTGTGACAAGACTCTTCCTTTGGTACAATTACCTTTTCACCTCGTTACATTACATTTGAAGAGCGCATTTTGTTAAAACACTGAGGGTTACTAGAAGAAATTTCAATGAATTTTCATATAGACATATGACAAAAATAATCAATAAATG